ACACAGCTCACAATCTCAAAGACCCAGCCAGCTCCCCATGGGCCAACCGCCCGGGGCTGCAACAGCATGGTTGACAAAGGCCGTTTCCGCATGGGGTTCGCCTCCCCGGGTTCGTCCACTTTGTGGTACCCCAGCTCATACTCCTCCTTGAGATGTCTCATCCTGGCTTGGCTGTTGACTGGGAGCTGGGGAAATGAGAGGTCTGACACCACGTTCGAAATGACCCAGGCATGGCGACGGGGAAGAGGAGGGAACTGGAGTCTTCATTTGACTGCTCGTGCCGCTTGGCGCACAAAACCCGCTGTGGCGGCGCGGCAAGTCGGTTCCATGGAAAAGGCTCCAGTTTGGGTCCAGTTTGAGGTCATGGTGAGCCAGTTTGAAACATCCGCATGGCTTGTTTGGGGATAGAGGCGAGAACCGGGGGCTGGAAGAGGAAGTTGATTGGCATGATTTGCGCGAGGCCAAGGGCTGAATTTCTGCTTCGGGAAATTCCCCTGAAGGTCGGCCCTGGTGAGCTGGCTCATGATTGGTTATGTTTGAAAAAAGGTAAGCACGTGACTTGGTCCGCATCCGATAAAGGAAGATCTGCCCGAGGAGGCATCCCAATAAGGAACTACCATGTTGCACCGTCCGTCCCGTGACTGCACTGCACCAGTACAGTTTGATAGAGTGCAGTGACTTGGTGTGATCTTTGAAGAACCATTCATCAGGCTGGAGGCATTGAAGCTACCTGCCTTAGACTCCTCCCAGTCAAGTGCCCACTGCTGCAAGTTGCATATTCACACAAGTCTACGCAGCCGAGGACCGTATACCAGCCACGTTGAGGAGTGCGCCGAACACTAGATAAAGCGACGGTCAAGAGGCTGCAAAACATGCATTTTTAACCATGCTTGGAGTACAAGCTAGCACCATAACCTGGATAGACATAAGCTCAGGGCAGCTCTTCAATTTTCAATTACTGCCAAATCAAGCCTCTCCCTTTAAGAGTGAAAAATATGCAGCGTGCATTATTTTATATCAATCTGTATGTGTCAATCTGTAAGTATCAATCTGCGTAGATAACAACACCAAGTAAGCATGCATTTGTAGTGTAGTCTCCTGACCAAACGGTAGATTACCTATCATTTGGCTAACAGGGTTATTTCCAGCGAGGACGTCCCAGAGTATAAAATCAAGAGCGTAGGGCAGGTTCAGCAGCGGTGTCGGATTGAACTTCTGCAAACCTCAAGCCTCAGCGCTTGGGGCCCTTGCTTCCTGCGATCTGCACTTCCTGCATACCTCCAGCCTAATGAAGTGGTCTCTGCGCCAGCACCCCAAGCTGCAGTAATTGGAACATCTTTGAGGTAGCAAATTTGAAAAAGGGTCGCAATCCAGATTAGAATACAATCACCGACTTGTGAGGAACGAGAATCCTCTGGATGGTATGCATTTTGTTTCTGGGGTCAATGAGATCGACGATCGCATCAGGGGAGGAAATAATATTGGCAGTATGCTGCTTGGCACAGCGGCGGATGCAGTGAGTGCTCACGGGTAGCACAGCCAAACGGAACTAGAATAAGAATTCTTTTCGCAACAATCAGACGACCGTAGTCAAAGTAGTTAGAAAGGACCATCCTTCTGTTAGTGCGACAGGCTGCGCAAGCGTGTTTTAAAGATATGTGCGAACCCGGTAGCCTGCGGCCGTTTCACCTAATGGCGCAACAGACAAGGCCGAAAGTGGGTTCATTTAGGCATCATTCAATCGTTAGCAGGTGTCTGAAAAGCTTGACTTGACAAACAGCGGCAGGCCAGTCGATCCGTGGGTTGCTACCCCGCGAGTTTGAGGCTGGTACTTGGCCTGGTCAGCCCATGGTCAAGTCTCAATCTGATGATCATTGAGACTTGAGTTGATTCCTTGGCTTTCACAGTGGAAACCTAGTCATCGGCAAGTTGACCGGCCAGTTGACTACGGGATGAACCACAAGTTAGGGCTCTCGCCTTGGTTTTAGAAGGGCCATGGAGCTACTGCAAATAAGTCTACCAGCTTGAAGATTCATGCGCCATGTTCACTCGCGTGGTAAGTGCAGACAGAGAGATGTAATGAAAAGCTGACCGGCCACGACGAATCGAGAACTGAGGGTGGATAGGCAACGCGTCCCAAACAAGGAATTGGTTGGACGGAGTGGGGGCCCTCAAGTGGGGAGCAAAGCGGATAGCTTCGTCTGATCGGTCGACTTATCGCTTTCGGGTGGCTCCCCTGGCCAGGGGAACCCGGCACTTTTGTGGCCAATTTAACCCCCCTTCCTTTTTTCGATTTGGCTTCTCTGCCACCAACCTTGTCCTTCCCGTCTGACATCTGTCGGTTGGCTATTCCGTGGCTGAGAAAGGATCATCTCTAGGATGTTCCGTGCAGGAGTTCCAGATGATCCTGGTGTTCGTCCAAGGAACAACTCCCCTTCCCCCTTCACTCGGATTCCACCGATCCAATGAAACTGGATTTCAGTAGCGTCATTCCCTTGTTAGCGTGCGGTTTCCTCCCAGCGCGATTCAATTCAGAAGCGCTGGTCGCAACTCCGGCAGTAACCTAACAAGCCTGCCTTCACCCCCACTATCACCACCGAGCCACCCCCGGCCCTGCCACCAACAACCCCCCGGGCCCTTCACGGGCATGCAGTCCACGTAACCCGGCACGACCAGCGGGAGGAGATAGAGAAAGAGCCACGAAGCAGAGACTCCGCCCGTTACGTACGACGGAGCGGGCCTATCAGCCCCAGGCGTTGTCGCGCGGACAATTGCACCCGTCGGACTGGCGCGGCTTTCGCCCGGAAAGGCCAAACTACCCAACAAACCGTCCATGAAGCTCCTATCCAGGCTATCCAGGAGGGAGGAGGACGAAAGAGGACCAGGAACTAACGCGAAGGGAAATTGTGCTAATTATACTACCTCCATTCAAGGCATCCGCCGGGGCTCCAGCCCACGAGCGGACACCGCAAAATCCGTCTTAGTGGTTGAATAGCGTCGATCTAGCTAGTTACTGCTCGTCCACCCCTGCTCCCATTTCTTTTTTTCCCTTCAACTCACATTCGTTCTTCCTCCCTCGTATCTCCATTTCACTCGCTTGATTTCACCTCCAGTCTCTCGTTTTGCTGCCATTGAGGTGTTTTTGTCATCGCTGAATCAAAGTTTTTTTGGGCTTTTCAAGCTTCCTTTTTCTTTCGGATCCGACGCACTGACACGATGATGTTCGAGGGAGTTTTGAGCTGGTTCCGCCCTGCGGAAGCCGAGGTTGTGCAGGAGACCAGCTGGGATCCCGTTACCTTGACCATGATCCAACCCAAGAGCCCGGTCGCTCCCACCACAGACGAGATTGTCACCGATCAACCGGTATGTTTGCATTGGTCATGCAGAGGGTGAAAAATATGTTGCGCAGGACACTAATCTATCTGGGTGATGGCAGATTCTCGGCGAAGGGATGGACTTGCGACTCCGCGGTGGTGACAGTGCTGAGGACGGGTAAGTCGCCAGCCAGCCCTAACCCGGCCGACATCGCCTACTGTATCACTAACCCCCAACCTTCATGTTAGATGCTGCTTCTGCTGTCGCTGCTGCAGCTGTCTCGATTCCTGCTGCGCCCCTGACGACGGCCCCGGCCAACGGCTGTGAACCACCGATCACGAATCCGACCATACATACGTACAGTACATACATCGTCCCTTTCTCGCCAGCCCCTGCATCCGACACATACCAGCCATCCCTCAGAGTGATTTATCGGGGGAGTTCCTTCTTACATAATGTCTTATTCTGCCCAGTCTCAACGGCCGGGAAGACGGGTGAATCGCCAATCTCGTTCGCCTCATTATTTCTCTCGTTTCGCATACTTTCTATCATCTGTGTATAATATTCTTTCTCTGTCATGACTTGCATCAGCCGCAATAGATTTCCTTGGTTCGGACCACAAATGGTTCATTGATTGATTGCCTTCTGATCGGATATATCGATATATCACAACTACAACGTCTTGAGTCGCGGCGTGGGAAGGTGACGATAGCTGGCGATGGGCGCAATTGCGCGAGCAGTCGCGGCGATAAACCCGAGCTCGTAGAAGCGAGTACCGCTGGATGTTGTCCGGCGTCACATTTTTAGAAAGATTAGTGGATGCAGATTGTAGAGCCCAGGAATAATTGATAATAGTCACTGTAGGGAAATCCTCAACACCTGGCAAACAACTGCTAAAGCTGAAATGTTTATCGAAATGATCTTCGATGATGAAAGAACTGATAAGTAGCCGCTGAACGTCGAAGATCTTCACCCAGTCGAGGATCGCTTTGCAACTAGGCACAGTACACTATATCAGCTGTCTGCTATTGGCGTGCGACGCGTTAGCTGTCTCATTCGAACCGTGGTTTGGGGTTATAATGGCTGATGGGAGTGAGCTTCCCATCGACTCGACTGGATTACCCAGTGGTCGGATCGCCTAGCATCATTGGTCTAGTGGTAGAATTCATCGTTGCCATCGATGAGGCCCGTGTTCGATTCACGGATGATGCACATCTTTTTTGTTCATTTTTCTCTCATTTTATAAGTACGCTACCCCGCGTTCCTCTTTTTCTTTTTCTGTTCTTTTCTTTTTTTTTTTTTTCTTTGCGCGCTTTGCGACAAATAAAAACTGATTTTGATCTGTATCATACCGTGTCTATTGTCGTATCAATATTCATAGAGCGCTATTGTTCGGCATACGGGACGTCAGCGCAACCGAACCACCCCCATTGGCTCCCAAAATAGACTCAGTTAAGTTAACCTTCCGCAACAATGAAAAGAAGATCGTATTCCCATCACATGACACCAAACAAGGATACCATCTCTGGCCTTGCAGCCACAAAACCCTTGGTTCCCTGACCTCTCGTGTCGTCATGCAATCAATCATGTGCACCCTCAGGTCGGAGCTCCATATAACCAGCGCGCGCATCGAAACCACGAACGCATCCACCACCTCCACCCCTATGTATCATATCAAACCCACCCCATCCACAGCCTCACCACCCTGATACCAAAGCAAGAATGACCTCCTCCCCCACCAGCCGCAACGCCGTCGACCTCCTCACCAGCCTCGCGGCCATCATCACCACCATCGCGACCAACCTGCACGCCAACCGGCTCGACCGCGCGCGCCTCCGCGCCACCCTGAAGGAGTACGCCGCGCGCGCCGAGTCGGACGGCAAGCTGATCAACGCCTCGCGGCAGTCGCAGCGGTGCGTCGAGCACGGCCTGCTGCTGGCCTACGTGCACATGGAGTTTATTGCGACCTTGCTGCGCTACAATCTGACCGTCCCCGCCACCGCCGTCAAGTGGTACAGCGTACGCTCGCTGCTGCTCAAGCGCTACCGGCTCTCGCTGTTCGGGATCGCGGCGCAGGCGCGGGACCTGCGCGCGCAGCTGGAGAATATCCAGAATAAGGCCGAGTTGCTGTATGCGGATTTCGCGGAGGGTGGGGTATGTTATCCCCCCCTTGGATAGTGGAGAGATGTTGTTGGGGCCAGGGCTATGAGCTGAGACTGGTTGGATAGGTGGAAATCCCCGAGACGCCGATTCTCTATCGCAAGGTCACGGCTTGTGAGCCGGTTGGGGCGCCGCCGGAAGGTATGTTCTGTTTGTGGGTGCGTGTGTTTGAGGTGGACGTGCTGATGTAGGGCTGGGTATAGCGATTCATGATCTCCTTCGTCGCGGGACCCTTGCTGAGCAGGAGTTGAGCGGGAAGATTCCTCCTTGATGGTGGTGAGGGGAGCTTTCCGGGGTTCTGGACTTGGAGCCTGGTCTATTCTATGGGAGTTTGGGCGAAAAGTCCTTCATGAGGGAGTTCTTGCTTTCAAAGCGGGAGATAATTCTTGGTGGACTTGATATCAGGGGACTTAATCCAGATTGCTGGGATTCGCCATCACAGATGTTCTCTCTAGCTCCTGGTATGTAGTTCTTCTACCCTTGTTCTTCTACATCTCACGGTGTCTTGCCCTTCAGACGCTTGGTCAGTAATGCAAGTCGATCGCTGTCAGGGGTGTCAAGGCCGGAGAAATGCTGTGAGTTCTTCGCTTGTTGATCCCCACAGCTGTTGGATTTGATAGTCCACATACCTGGAATGGCAGGTTGCAACAATGCGAGGCAAAAGAGCGCTTGTTCGAAGCAACAGCCCGCACCCTGGCCCTCACATATCAAAGTTAGTTCCACAATCAAGGCTCTAATGTTTTATTGACGCTAGGCACACTATCATTAGGCTTTCTCTTACAGAATACTGTATATGAACTCTTGGTTTCACCCTTTGGTCAAAGCATTATAGTATGTTGGTTGAGCCTTAAATCAATAGTCATCGGAATTTAAGTTAGTGCGTGTCAGACATTTTACAGTGAACATGCAACATCTTACAGTTCGGATGACCTTTGTCTGACCTCGGCCGTAGTCACGAGTCTCTCTGGTTCAAGCAGTTCCTGTAAAGAAACCCCAGGGCCCGATGCACAGTGCTTCACTGCGGAAGAAGAAACTCAACCTCTTCTGTAAAGGGAATCTTCTCGAGCCCAGGAATGGAGTTTGCTCTCGAGGAGACGGGCCCGGGTTGCATCCGACTCCCACATGCTGTTCCGGTACGGAGGAAATAGATCGATGAGGTGTTTCAGGATCTCTTGGAGCACAAGGTGGGAGACATTCCTATGTTCATCGGAGCATCATCTGCCTTGTCCCTCCGCTCCTTGGCTTGTATACGGTTCTTCTCACCCCGCAATCGACGTTGCTTCCAGATCTCTAGTGAGTAATTCGTATGACAGCGATGTAACAATCTAGCCGGAGTTGATTGGGGGCACCGATCAACTTCGTCAGCATGCCTGAAGCTGTGTACGTAACCTGAAACATCAGTACAACCGGCATCGACATTGGGATCAAAATGACAATCCGTTCGCCTTTTGCTGGGGTGTGTCAATCTCATCTACTCCAGGCCAATACTTGACATAGACCGTACAATAGATGCAGGAACCAACGTGCGGAGACTCCCGATCTGGCGCGCAGTACCAAGTTCCGTCATTCCAGTGGATATTAACATAGATAGTAGGCAATCTTACTGTAGCGTTCATTTTGAAGCATTTGAAGTAACTCCGATGTACCATCAATCAATCCAACCGCATCAATTTCCCCATCAGGCCAGTCCCACGCCAACCCGATTAGAACCAGAAGTATACGAGCCCTAAAACCTTCTCTCCTAACACAGCAACTGCAGTCAAGTACAATGTACTTTCTTACCTCCTGCGCAAGTGTAACAACACAACCGTTTATTCTCCGACCCGAGAACCGAGAGCAGTATATAAGCCCAACGAGCCACCCCACCCTATAACGAGCACCAGCCCCTCGCTCATCCTCCAATTCCCCCAGAATAAGCAATTATCTCGAAACCCTTCTCTTCACCAAGACAATCTCTCACAAGCTGAGCCACTATCACACATTCAAACCCTTCCAACTCCTCCAGAGATTCCCCACTGAAACAATGCACCTCCTTCCAGGAGTCCTGATCCTCCCCCTCCTCGCCCTCCAGGCAACAGCCTGGTCGCTGACCATCTACTTCACCGACGGCGGCCACATCACGAGTTCCGGCCGCCTCAACTCCGGCTGCAAGGCCTACGACCTCCCCGTGCACAACCGCCAGGTCAACCGCGCGTCCTTCAGCGAGAGCACCTTCGCCGACACCTTCGAGCTGTTCAGCGACAAGGACTGCCGGAATCGCGTGTTCCGGGAGGGGAAGGGCAGCCATCGCGTGCAGCCGCCGCGGCGGGTCAAGGCTTATAAGGTCTATTGAGCCTTTTCTGGGGGGTTGTGGGGTAAGGGGCGTGGGGATTGGGGGTGAGGTTGGTTTGGATGTGAGTTTGGGGGTATGGTGGGTTTGACGGAGCTAAAGAGCCAGGTTGGGAGTATTTATGGGGTTAAGGGGCAGGGACCGAGGCGGCCTTTTTCTTTTTTTTTTTTTTTTTTTTTTTCTGCTGTATGTGTGACCCGTTCCGCACGGTAGTTGGGTGGGTTC